ACACGTATACGGCCAGGGGTGGCAGAGAAGAAGAGGGGTCGTCGACGATTGGTCGTAGTCGGCGTCGATACGGAGATCAATGGCCGCCCGCGCTCTCTTCTGTGTATATAGAGAGCGAGAGAGACGACGATGGCGTCGAATCGACTGTCAGGCACTTGGGCCGCGCGCTTTCGATCGATCGGCTTTGCGGAGTGTCGAAGTCGCGGCCCGATGCTTCACGCGCTCGATGGCGCACCTGACCTCGAAGGGTGGCGCGTGAGAGAGCAAACGATTCCTTCGATTAACTAACTTCTCTTCCTTTCGGACGGGGTGTTCTTCGCGGCCTTCCGATCCTGGACTTCGTCAACGTCGGCTCGCGCCCGCGTGCGCACGCTTCGAGCGCACCGCGACGCTCTCCTCTGTATGTGTGTGTATACGTGTGTCTCTCTCTCCCTCTCCTTCCCTTCCCCTCTTTGCACCCTCAACGCTGTCGTCGTCTTCGTACTTCCGAATTCCGTCGCAGTTTGTCCGGCACGCGAATTTTCTCCCGAGAAATGACTGGATTCCCTCGCGCAGAACAATCCCTTCTTTTCCTCTTATTCTTCTCGTTCCTCTTCCTCTTTCTTGGTCTCGGACTTCAGGTCTCCGGGCGCCCGCAAGAACCGCGTGAGGCGAGAAGGACGTTTCTACGGCAAGGGCGCGCACGAGGTCGAGTCGTGTGGTGTTGTTGGAACACACGGAGAGAAAACGAGCGCGTCTCGCGCTCGCACGGAGTTGTGCGGAGTTGCGCAAATCGCGAATGCTACGCTACGCGAGAGCCTCCGGCAGGAGGGTGCCTTTCTCTCCATCTCTCTCTCTCTCTGTCTCTCTTCTTTGCTCTCTCGCGCGCTCTTTCTCTCGCTCTCCCGCGGAGCGAGACGAGAGCGACAGAATTGAGGGGGTTGCAAGAGTACGGCGGGGCGGGAGAGGGGCGGAGATCTCGCCACGGGGATCTGTAACGAACTCGATATGCAGGGGTTCGAGGAGAGGGACGGGACGCGGCTCCGGGGGATGAAGAGTGAAGAAGGGAGACACTGAGGACGAGGGAACCGGGGGGGGGAGGACGAACGAGTCAGGGGTGGCCCAGGGACCACTCGACCGCGTCCGGTACCCCGAACGACACACAATGTCGCTTCTCAATTAGACGAACCTCTTCCTACATGAATTTGCGCGTTCGTTTTTTTTCCCCCTCCTCTCCTTTACCTTACGACTCAGATCGATAACCGGGTTCGATGCACTCGTGGTTTGATTTATCGAGCGATGAGGGACAATCATCGATTCGTTGTTACTCGGAGGTCTGTGTTTGCTATCGGTGTATTGTCAGTGATATCGATTCGTCGAATTGACTGACACGTCGCGGCTGTCACGCCGCGGTATCTTTATACCGACACCTGCGTGCGCGCGTTGAATTCTCAAAAATTTACTTAAACTGCTCTTGGGAATCGATTGTGTAAATTGTGAAAGTGACAAGAGCAAATTTACTTGAATATTTATAATTTCATTAGTCAACACTTGGAAAATTTGCTCACTTTTGTAATTTTCATCTCGTTTTAAGATACACAATCTATCCTCATACCAATCAATACGGATATATTTAAGTTGATGACGTAAGAAGAAGACACGTAATAAAAATTAATGCAAGAATCTATTAAAATAGAAATATTTTTCAATAAAACAATATTTACATTTTATAAATATAACTTGTAAAATATTTTTACCGAAAACTTTTTTATTTTAGAGTAGAATAAAATTATATTTATTTCTCTCAATTCAAAAGCTATCATACATTGTTTTATTTTTTAGTTAGGCACAATTTATTATAATTCCAAATATGATTATTTATTGATTACCGGAAGACAAGCGAAATTTCTGATATATTTTAAAAATCTATCGATTGTTATTTCGTTTAGAAATATTTACATTTTAATATAAATTGTAAGAATTACTTTTCTTTGCTGTTACTATTTTCTTGCTTCTGACGTCACAATCACTACAGAGAGTAGATAGTTTTCATTCTATTGAAGTGCTCGCGAACGAGCAAGGAGACAACACGAAATGGGATTTTGAAAATTAACCGAGCAATCGGACGGTGTATTTTTAATAAACGAGTCTAGTGTAAATACATTGAGTGTTTCAATATTAAGCGCGCATGCAGAGTTCGTTAATGTTCAATTCAATGGGACTAAATAAGCGAAAGCGAGATCTTTCTGTAAAGTCGAGTGATTACGCACAGAGCTTTACGGTTTGACGAGCGCGCTGTGCTTACAGTCCTTTATACGATTAAATATTCTGAAATACCCGAGAGCATTTTGTATCTTAACGACAAAGTAACAACAAAACGTTCTAACGAAAATAATAAAAATAAAAGCAATAACGTTTTAACGAAAACTTAAACGCTGATGTTTTTCTTAATAATATAAATAAATGAACAATATGTTTTATTCATGTATATAATACATGATATGTTATATTTACAGCACAAACAGATTTTTACACAAGTTAGATGTTGTTTCCTCTTTGTTGTATGTTGTTATTGTTTACGGTCCGTCCGAAACGAACATAATTTATCATTATAAATTTTAGATATGCAATATTTTATAAAACTGAGAAAATGAGCTACAATGATCTTGCATGATTCTGGACGAAATACAGATTCAATGTGTGCAAACATAATTAAATCTCTTGTAAAAAGAAGAGAGTTAAATTTAAAACTTTCTTCTTCAAAAATATTCTACAATTTTCTCGCACAGAATAAAAACCAGCATTGATCGATACGTTAAAAGATATAAAAAGAATTCGTAGCACTTTGAGGTTGCATGCGCAAATGTATAGCATAATTACCCACATGAAATTGAATTAAATATTTTAAAAATTTCATAGAACATTTTTTACTACAAGAAGCCGAAACGAGACAATAGATGTACAAAAATAGGTTTTCAACTTATACTTGTTAATAAACAATTACGTTTCTAGGATAATTAGCTTCTAAACAATTGTTCTTGTAATTTTCGAAATGCTTGATTGCTTCCATCGACTGTTGTAAATAATAATTAGATAAAATGTGACATTATTTTATTTTATCATAGTGTCTATATTTTATCAGGGTGTCTCACGGGAAGATG